GCTGTCGAGCTCATCTTCCTGCTCCTCGGGTGGTTCACATTCGCCAACATGTTGCAGTAGTACACCGCGCTTATCCGTCGTCGTGAATCGTGATCCTTACCAGAACGTGGCCGGTTCACTACATAGGTCCATTTCCTCCGCGGTGCTGACAGGCGGCTTCTGCTCGAAAATATTGGTTTTTCCTATGAGTTGTGCAATGAATTATGATTTTTCATCTAATTCCATTTGACACGCAGCCATAATAGTGAATAGAGTAGGTGATGACGTGCACTCGAAATGTACTGTAGGTACTATTTAGGAATTATGCTGGACTTTACTATACAATTTCGGATTTTTTTAAATTTTATATTGGATATTTTGTGATTTTGGAACAAATTTTGTCGTTTTTAGCTGCTCCCCAAAAATCACGCCTAACCTAAGACAGTTTTTAGTCGATTAAAACCTCGGACTGTCCAAAAAAATATAAAGGCGCCTACTATGTTTTTGGCATTAATAATTAAGTACATATTATATAATAGATAATACATATAGATAAAAGTTTCGAAGGTAGTAAAATAAATTATTATAATAACATAGGTAGGTCGTAGACAGCCGAGTATAATAAACATAATAATTGATATATATATATATATATATATATATAAGTATCTCTATCCACCTCTTACCTTCAATAATAACATAGTATCCTACACTCATTTGACATTATGCCTATTTAAATACTTTTACGATTTTTTCGAAAAGGAATATATGTATATTATTATAATTAGCTGTAGCTGCCTATATATAGTATTTATAGTGTATAATTATAGCTACGGAAGGTTTGCAATTTGTGCGATCAACCGACTATATTATGTGGCACGTTTATATAACATAATATTATGGTGTTTCATATACTATAGCAGGCATACGTATTATTAAACCTAGGCGGCTAAATAATATGGTGAACCTGTGCTGTAATTCTGTGAACATGCCTAAACCTATTTTTTTTTTTTTAATTATAGAACTGTGAGTATACAGCAAGATCACAAATGCACAATACGCATATGAAGTTAACTACAAGCGAGTGTGTGGCTCTTCTAAACGTTTTTTGAATAATATTATTTATTAATGATGAAAACGATTATTTCGATCCCTCTCAGCCCTGAGACAAATTTTACAAAGGAGGTAGAATGAAAACGGTAGTACTATGCAGCAGTACTGCGGGTGATACTACATACGAGTAGATGTAATATATATAGGCGGCGGTAATCCATTCCAAAATGATAACGACTGCCGACACTAGTTGTTTTGAAAGTCCTCAATTTTTTAAAGATATTTTTTTTTTAATGTTTAGATCTCATGGCAAAGCAAAATTTTCGAAACCATACAACAATTAACTAAACTTTTTTGAAATTCGAGTATTATGTATCGGAATATGGAACTAACAATGTTTGTGTATCGTCATTCAAAAAAGTAAAAGCTTGTGCAACAATAACGATAAAATATTGTATAATCTATAAGAAATAACATGTATTTTATTTAAAAAATATTGTTTTGCAATGATGTATCAAATTATGAAAAAAAAATATTTACAAATTAAAGAGCGTGTAGAAACTTGTATGAATCAAGAGGTCTTATATATTATAATATAATTTATAATATACCTACGACTCTACGAGCGTCCAGTAACAGCATTGGCGTGATTCCATTAAATGTCAGCCGGTGCAAGACTTTCATCGACTCGATAATCACATAAAGACAAATTAAGTAACATTTGGAGCCAATCGCTTTGCTCGCGCACACCATCTTTTTATATTAGACTACAGACGGATATCAAAGTCTGTATACCTTAAACACTGTGCGGCCCGTATGGACGTCTTATAAAAATACGATATTTATATTCAATAAATATTATCGAATATTATTAGTGAAATTTTGTTCAAACCAAGTCTATGTAGTCTACGACAATGGCACTGCTATAATTGATTGGTAAGTTACAAAAAAATTATTACACAACGTTGTCTTATTAGGTATGTGTTCAGTTGCGTTTTCCTTTATCAAAAAAAATTAAACAATTCAATGAAATAGTATTACACATACGAGTATTATGTTACACTTTTGTTACATAATACCAGAGGGTGCAAGAGCACCACCATGCAGCACAACCGTAATTATACCGCGGAGCAACAGTAACAGTTTTGTTGCAGTAAGACTTGAGACTTCCACGCGACGAAATGCCCTGTTCGGCGAAATATTCTCGAGAACCAAACCAAATGTAGTTGATATTATTTAACGAATTTCTCGACAGTTAATGAATCTATTTTGCTGTTCACGACGAGACTTCGCGTTACGATGGGAGTTAGGCGTGATGGCAGCTGTACGAGCCGAGTTTTGGTACCAATGTGCAGGCTGTGTATGATACTCGACTTAAACGTGCTTCGGATATAACTATGTGATATTATAATACAGTCGGCGACGCACAAAAATAGGTACTCATAATATTATGTGTTTTTATTTATGAAAACGGTTATTTCGATTTCTCTCAGCCCGAGGCATTTTCACCGAGGGGGCCGAATGAAAACGGTAGGCCTATAAACTGCAGGCGGCCGCCATACTGTGCGTAGATGTGTATTATAATAATAATAATAATAATACGAGGGAAAAAAAAACGAAGGACGTAAATAACCTATTCCCTCATATTGGGGCTATATATAGATGTATACGTAGTGTACTTATATCGTATGCGTGTTTTTTATTCTCTAAATATAGAGCTAAGTGTTTGTATTGGATATTTTGTAATTTCGTCAGACGAGTAGGCATATACCTATTTTGTTTTTTATTTTATGTTTAATTCGTACCACGATGGCATGATGTAGATGTGTATAGATAAAGGTACGACACGGCTTTACGTTCTCGTCTGTCGTGACAACAAATAGGAAAATAGCTAACATAATTGATACGTATCTAATATGTAATAAAAAATCGCGGTCGTTTGTGATTAGGTACGTCTGATTATAAAATTATATAGGCTGTAAGTATATTTAGTTTTCGTAGAAATCATTAAATCAATCCGCTGCGGCGCTGCAGCACTAGTCTTGCTCAATGTTAGTAAAAAACTTAACACCATAATATTATATATTTATATCCTATATGTATATTGTATAATTATAACTTCATATAATGATTACCACAGTAATTTCGTTCTTTTTTTTTTATTAGAAAACCTTGTAAAATAGTAGACACAGTGCCAGGGCAGCTTATAGGTATATTATACAGTCGAACTTGGTTATCTCGAACTTCTTTAACTCGAAATCATCGATACCTCGAACTTTTACTCCGGTCCCTAGAATTTCCTATTTAAACAGTGTAAAAAAATCTTGTTTAACTCTAATATTTTCGTGGATAACTCGAAAATTTGAGTTTTATTAATACATATGTATTTGTATAAATATTCCCTCATTTATCTATAAAGGTTAATTACTCATTAGTCATTAATTCGAAGCTTTGAATAAAATAGAACGATTCACTATAAACGCTGCAATCAACAGCAAAACTCAAACAAAAATAAATACTTCTTAAATAATTTAATAACCTCATTTTTGTTTATATGTACATACATTACCTGCCTTTTTAAAATTACATATACATACATACATATAAATACATAGTAACTAATTTTCATTGCACATTACATATTTTATCTATAATAAACACAGGAATTAATACAAAGTACTGTTTTTAAATTCATTTTTGGATAACTCGAACTTTTACTCCAGTCCTTTCAACTTCGAGTTAACCAAGTTCGACTGTACTAGTAATAATTAGTCAAACTATTTTTTTGACGTAGAGAATAGTGCCATGGTGGAGCCTAAAAGATATTGAAGGATTGTAAAATGGAAGATTGGCAGTGGGTGTTAAGAGTTTTATAGACGTCAGAACGATAGCAATGTGGACATGTTAAATTTGTTCCATCAAAAATATTTAGTTCCTTTAAAAAAAGTTCTCTCTTCGATTTGTCGACGATACGTATCTAATATTTTAAGTTGAAACTATATTTTCTGGTCAATAAGTATTAGATATGTAGGTATCAAGTCTTATCTTTGATAATTCGAAAATTGATTACATGAGTATTATGAAACGAATTTAAATGCAATATTATAATTGTAAAATAATAACATGAAATTAAATTAAAATGTATTAGTTATAATATTATTTAGTATTTAATTCATAGAAAAGGCATGTTGAATGAAATATGGATAAGCAATACTGGTAATATTATATACTTAGTTTAAAAATTTAAAATAACAATAACCATACAACTCAAAGCTGCTTAAACTGTAAATTGAATATAGTATTGGTTGGTTGGATAAACTCAAAATAGAAGCCCAAAGTACTGACATTGATTATGTAATGCATACATTTTTTTAAAAAGTTGCGTCTTACACCACCTACTTTAATGATGTATGTAGTATTTTGTCTACGTAATTAAACAACAAAAGTTTCAACGAAAATTAGTTCAATTTGTGTTTATATTTTAGTTAGGAATTAATATTATTCACAATTTTAAAATGTAACATTTGAACACCTAACTTCTTTTAAGACTTAAATTATGCTTTCATATCATGATTTTTATAATTACAGATTATAAGTGTTTTAAATGACTTTAGTCGCTCAGTTGTCTAAAAATCTACCTTCCACACTGTCATACAGTTATTGTAAAGCACTCTCAGATTAAAATCTTTTTTGAACTAATATTATGGAATATTCAGAAATATTTGTTAATTAAATGAACCATTAACTTAATATCATATGTCTACACTTTATAATATATTCGTATGGTCATCTGAAGTAGAAAATGTAAATTTTATTTCACCAACAAGTTGTGTAGGTAATAATAACTAATAACAATGGCACCCGTGTGTTTTTTGAACAGCATTCTTTAGGTCTAAATTTACTATAATTTAATGGAATAAAATGTGGTTTCTGACTTGTGTTTGACAATTCACAATGCGCTAAAAATCATGGTACCTTCAATTTTATTTTATAAAAAAAAAATTAGTGTTAACCCACAAGATAAACTAACATTAAGATTTTATCAGTTATTGTTAACAGAAATATATGTGGTAATGGTTTAGATATTTTGGCAAAATAAAAACATTAAATACATTAATTCTATAGGAACCTTTTTTTTATAATCATTTACGATATTTTATTTTAAGCTAATCTTTGTTTGATTTTAATCAGAAAATAAAGCATCTCAACTATCTCTACTAATATAAAACTTTAAAAAAAATAGTATACAAATGTAAGAAAACTGGTAAAAATTGTTTACACCAATAAATTGTAGACAAACTTAAATATTTTAAAAACCTTAATACAATACAGTAGTAACAGGGAAGCGTAGAAAAAAGTATCATTACAATATTATTATTATCATCTATGTCATATTATATTGTCAGGTTCTCGTTAATCTAGAATTTAATAGGATAGGATGAATGTAAATTACAAACATTAAAGATATACTCTTATTACCCTGCACATCTTTAATGTTAAACTGAAGATAACATCTCGTATAAGACTTTATTCTTAACTCTAAAAATGTTGCTTATATTTTTGACACAAATCTGAACATTTTTTTAAAGGAATGATAAGGGTATAAATTTAAATTTTTAAAGTTTTGAGTATGGTTCTACTACACTTAATATAGACTGTCAGTGTTTGATGAACGAGGCTTTTTTATTTTGTCAAAGTTCTTGATGACTATATCATGCAATGTTGAGTAGCGATTACGGATTTCGTGCATGGTAAGGGACATAGATAAGTATTGTCTCTCATCCAACTCTTCAACAGCACACCGGTAGTCTTCAATATATGGGTACTTGCAAACCTAAAAAGTGATTAAATTATTAAATAACAAAAATTTTTACTAATTTTTCTTCTATTTAAAATTAAAAATGTAACTAATTTGTTATAAATTGTTACCTATCAACTGATTCTAAAAAGACTTCAATAAAAAAGGTATTATTTTATAAATTCATACTTTTATTTGAGTTTGATTAATGAACTGATTAATGTGTATAAGTACAATTACAAAAAAAAATTATATCTACAACCAAACTTTTCATTGAATATTTTATAGTAATTATTAGGTATTTAAATAATATAATAAAGCAATTAACGTCTTAAATGCATGTTACCTATATTCTAATTAATCAAATTAAATTTTGATAGTGGGTGACTTTTGCACTACACATTTAGCTTATTGTATATCACATTTTTATTATTAATTTAAACAAAAAAAATGTATTATATTATTTATATTCAAATCAATACAAAAAAGTTATTCTTGTACAAGGTAGTTATTTATTTTATTTCAATTAATAACATACTTACTGAGATATTATGTATTATATTATTAAATATTGTGGTATTGTGTAAGCAATTTAATTTAATTTTGCCCCAAAATTGTCAAGATAATTGAAAATGTACCTGTTTATTATCTCAATATATTTATCTTGTTATTTTATAAAAAGTCATTATAGTTATTAATCTTTAAGATAGTGTCAACTATTGTGGACAAGTCTATTTAACTTATTAAATGTATTATTGTATTTATCAGATTAGCAAACATCTAAGCCATTCATTCTTAAGACCCTAACAATTATTTGCAGACTATAACTTTATAAACGTATAACTTTTTTTTTTGAATGCTCATTAAATAGTATAAAAATGATAAACAATATTATTAAGAACTTGAATAATGGCACTGCAATTTTCTGTAGTACAAAATAATTTGTAAGACGAAGACAACATGCGTCCTTTTAATGACTATAATTAGACCTAATACAGATATATAATTTTGTAGGGAATGGTAATTCCATCTAAAGAAAGTATAATTTTAACAAAGATAGCCAGTAAAATATGAAGCCATAAACCAGAATAGAATTTTTATTAGAGATATAATTCATTATATTGCCTATGCAAGTATGGACATAGTTTATTTTTGTTCTTAAAATGATCAGATTTTATTTTACAAAAATCCCAAAATCAAAAATAGTTTTCTTTTTGAATTTAAAGCTCATATTAAGGACTTCAGTGCACCATTTGTTTTCTCTCTCACCCATGCACAACATGTTAAATTTTTTTTTATCAGAACAACCCTGTTATATTACTTAAAATATTAGTGAATTCAACTATTTTCAAATTTTAAGTTAAGAACGTTACATGTGTCCCTACATTGGCTATTTTATGATAAGTTGAATTACAAATGCTTATAAATTGAATAAAAATAAAAATAAGAGTATACAAGCCCACATAGCTTATGGTTATGTTCTTTAAAGTATAATAATTGGTGAATTCATTCTAATGTTAAACATAACAACACAGGATTGGTTTTGCTAAATATACATTTGCTGTTGTGTGCAGGGCCATAACTGTAAATTAATTTCAGGGGGGGGGGGGGTTGTAAGATTACACATTCTGGTGGTAATGTATTATATGTATGATATTGAAAGTTATTTTACCATGACATTATATAATACAAACAATTTCGAAGGGTTTGAACTCTCCCCCCCCCCCAGGTATGGTCATGGTTGCGTGCAGGTCAGACTGTCACAGAGAGAACAAATGCTACGCTGACATTTTCTTAACATAATACAACGGTTATAGATTCATTGTACAAAATTTAAAATATTAAAACTAATACAAACCTTGGAAATAAGTTTTCCACGAGATGCATAATAGCGGGACATTTGTTCAAGATAATTGGTAGCTTCTACCTCAACTTGCTGTATCTCAGCAAGAGTATCTTCTTGCACAGATACTCCAAAATTGTTGCCATCTTCAATTTTAGGTATTAATAATGATACCCACATTTTTAACTGAAAATAAAGATTAATAAAAATAATAATTATGATAAATTAATTAGGTAAATAATAAAATTATTTTACAAACCGCATTGGTGTCTTCAGCTAATTGTTTGATATTGGGTTTAAGAATTTTAATGACTTCAACAATTTTTTTATTGGCTGGTATGAGTAGTTGTCCTGGAATTGTATCATGTGAATTTGAATCTAAACGTGGCCTTTTTCCCTGAGTTTTTCCCTCGCAACTAAAACCAAAAAATTGTTTAAATTGTTGATACTCTAACATCAAATACTATATTTATAGCACTTATTTCTCTATGCAAGTAAAATCTTAATAAATTAAACAAAATTTTGTAGTGATAACTATTTACAATACTCATATTTTTTTAACTTACTTGTTTACATTATTTTCTACTTTAGTAATTGTGGGGATTTCTAATTTACATTTTATGTCAGTTGCAGCAATACGAAATTCAGGCATTTTGAGTAACTCATTTAAATGTATTATTCGCTCAGGAAATTTTTGAACTATACGATTCTCTGCCTATAATTTAAACATAAACAAAATAATTTATTATAGTAACAACATAAAGATAAATATAATTATTGTTATTACCACATAACTTAAATAAAAATTGTTAAAATACCTATTGATTTTTTTTATTATTATTTAGTATTTAAGCATTGTATTACACTGAATTAAGTCTCAACGATAAAATATAAAATTAAATATTGATTGAATAAGCGGATATTACAAAAATATTCAACAGTTAAAACATAAAACTTATAATTATAGATATATTTATTTTTTATAAAAACAACTTTAATCCATTATTACTTGAGATGTATGCCATAACATACACATAATGTTTGTCTTGCCAATAATCGATAAATTAATAATAAATAAGTAATAGAAGACTAGTTGAGTAAAGTGTACTAAAATTGTTGCTTTTTGGAATACAAAAAAATTACTTAATTTTAAAATTAATATAGACAAAAATGTCAGAAACCTACAATTAATATTTCATCTTACAAGTAAAAAAAGTTTCAATACATACGTCAACCTTCAGTGTTTCGTGGAATTCTTTAGCCTGAAAAATATAAATAAATAAATTATTAATAACATAAAATTTAGTGTCGAAAATAATTAATATTTGATGTCTAAAATGTAGAACGCTTGCAACCAAAAATCATTGATCTTCAGTTTACCAGTAAACTTATAAGATGTACAAGTAATTGTAATGAACATTGTAAAGAAACTTATTTGTAATGAATTTTTATTACAAGTTTTAAGTGATGATTATCCATGTCGAGGACGAGTCTCATGAATATCGCATTAAGATGCTAAAACGTGAGTAAAACGATCTATACAAATTTTCAACATCTGTTTAAATCACCAATCATGTATTGATTATTTTCAACTGGTTATGCGGACGATAGGTATATTTTATTTACCTTCTTTGCAGCTTCAGTCTGAGCCATTGTTTTCAGTAAGTGAAGAATTTGGTGTTAGATGATTGAATGAATTCGGATGGAAACGGTTCAAGTATTACGGTGTTTTAAAACGTAAATTGTAATCAAATAACGAAGGATACTCTTGTAAATAATATAAGATTTTATAAAACAAAAGCAATTGCCATGAGAAACGAATGATGAGCCGTATTGGCCGTATTGAAAATGATAGTCTTAAACATTTTCAAATTATTTTCAGGTTATGTTATCACGGTTACGGTATACAAACATCTCTCGTTTTCCCATACAGATGGCGTTACGTTACTACATGAAATAATAAATTCAGTATTTATTATTATAACTATAAGTTGCAAATAACAACATTACATAATTCCAACAATAATAAGCTTTTAACTTACCATCAGGCCAGCGGACTTTGAATGGCTGCTCTAAGTGGTAAATACTTGTCAGAAAAATATTAGTTTATTATTCATTAATTAATTATATATTACTTCATTGTGCATACGTTTATAAATGTAGTTATTATAATCGAACGTTAATTAAATTAAAAATAAGTCAAGATTCTAAGAATAAAAATAATATTGTGCATATCCTATGAATCACGTGGTTTCACATTTAGTTTTTTTGTCTATTGATTTCTTATCAACTCAAACAAAACAATAATTTATGATAGAAATAATAATTCATGCTTTCAATATTTTTTTCTGTGATCATTAATTTTTCATTTAAGTTAAGTTAATTCACTGATTAATAACAATTAAAAATAAGGAGTATGATTAAGTAATTCAAAATTACAAACTGAAAAGCCCATAAACGCGAACCGCATGTAATACAATACTTACAACATAGGTAGTATGTGAGATGTGACACAACAGTTGGAAATGTTTTTAGATAATTATTGATTGAATTATCTACAGTATTGACTATTGGACAATATCAAATATTCTATATCCACATGTAATAAAACAACTAAATGTCCAGTACCTGTGCCCTATATAACAATGCATATTGCAAATGGTAATTTAAATTCGCTCGAGGAAGATATACGGAACAGAGTATCAAGCAAAAATTCCACATGTCATCATTTTGACCAAAGAGGGAAAATATGTAACGGCTTAAAAAGTATTGATCCAATTCCTTCATCGATTCATCTGTTTATTGAGCTCCTTAATTGGGAAGGTATATTAAAGTTACTGTTAATTATACATCTATAAGTTTGTTAGTTATAAATGATTATTTGATTATACTTCAGACGATGCAGTCGACAAGGATTATAGTACAAGGATTATAGTACAGAGATTACTCAGCAGGTCCAAGTATGTTTAGCTGATATACCTCCAGTCATAACACTAAACAATATAAAGTATGAACTAAGGGGTATACCTATGTTCACACAAGCACGGGGTGAGTCGATTGCGTCATAGTATTGGACATTACTGCATGCGAAACTATGCAACTAGCAACTGGGAACTTTACAATGATTTAAAATGTAAGCCAATGCCAGTAAAATCAAACACAATTGTACCTTGTAGATTTTCGATTTACACAATTTAATATTCATGCATAAAGTTTAGATTGTAAATTAATAAACGTTTTAAAACTTCATTGTTAAATTTGTTCTTTTCTCAAAATCTAATGCACGTAGTTTATAGCATACAGACTTACATCTCACGTTTTATGTACAACATGGGTAATAATTACGATGTAGAGAATATAAAAACCGATACTTGTTAGTTGCAACCGTCCCGCATAATGATCAATAATACAATTCGATTTGAACACCAATATGAATTGTACCATATGGTATATGTTACATTATTAGTTCGTAATAAAATATTAAATATTATAAAATAATATATGAGTAACTAGCTGGACACGGCGATGAGTTGTTATTGCTGGGTTTTTGTGGTTATGCGAGCAGTATATTAAGGCAGGCAATCATTCTGCGGTAGATCGCGGACCCCGAGTGATGCGTACGTTAATGTATAGTTTAACTCTTACTTACTCTGAAAAATGCCCAAAAATAGGACATACTCAGGCGCACTCAAAAATTGTTTGTCTTTTATATATATTGATTCAAATATGAAAAAAAAACCCACCAAAAATATAACAGCGAGTCAGCGAACCATTCAATAACACTGTAATTTCGCTACGGGACGGGGCTGGGGTGACGAAGGTTTTTAAGTTTTCACGATTGCCGCCGAACGACGATCGTATACATTTTGTAAATGGTTGTACAAATTCATACAAACTACTATTTACTATTTTAAAACCAAAATTTAAAGTTATTTATTATTTGTAATGGACCAAATCAAATAGTTTAAGTTAGTTTTTAAGTATTTTATCTATTCTATTTTTTCTTTACTACCTTATTGTATTTGTTTTTTTTAAATATCAACAATTTATTTTTTTTTCGATCGCCAAATTTCGGCGCCGGTCCGAGATCGATCGTACGATGTGGGGGGGCTGCGTGAAGTTGGCCCCCCAATTTTGAAACGATTCCCACAGCATAAGTTGAAGTTTGCAAAATTCTGAAAATAGATTTGCAAATTATTGCAAAGTATTTGCAAAATATTTGTACAGGTTTGAGATTGATCGGACAATGTTGGGGGGCCAACTTCACTGACATATTTAATTAAAACAATTTATTAATTCAGATCTAGGTATTATACAACATTTTACGACTGATTATCATATTTTAAGTATCTAACTTCTTGTTATAAAATAACTATAAATAGTTGAAGAAATCGGTGAAGATAGATTTATACACTATTTAACTATAGACCAAACTGAATTATTAATAGGAAATAACAATAGGAATAATAATTATACCTATTATTATCTGAATTAGTTGTTTAAATTATTAGATACATTAATTAAGTTTAAACTAAATACTTAATAGGATATTAGGATAGCAACAAATTAAAATAAATGGAAATATAAAGAAACTTGAATCAGCAGTTGAATGTAGCTATAATATTTGTATACATAAATGCGTGTATTAATGGTTTGATAAGATGTTAAGTAAACCTAGGTATGTCCTTTAATAGGTGCTTAATACTGTATTTATACAATAATAATATTATCATAAAATTGAAAATTTTCTAGAGGAATGATCTAATGATATGGACATTTTCGTGCATTACTATTATTATATAAAGGGAAAATAGATGTTTTTTAAATTGTATTTTACATAAATATAATAATATTACCTATACGAAAAATGGTTTTAAATGTTAAAATATTTCAGTATTGAATGTTATTATTGTAATTAACTAGCACCTGCACTCTGCACTAGTCTGCAAGTACCTAATGATAAGAATAAAATTGTTTTGTTATAACAGGGTCTGTAAATACTGAATAGTCAAAAATATATATCCCCCCACCCATTTCATAAAAGCTGAGCCCACCACTGGTCACAAATGGAGTTGGAGATGTCATCAATGATGGATTTGGTCTAGCTCAGCGGTTCTCAAACTATGGTACACGGAAGGCCTTAAGTAACACTGAACCAGATATTTCATCGCTAATATCAAATCTACAAATCCATGGTTCTCATTGAAAATTTGTTATTTAATTCATTCCTTAATTTTTAAACACTAATACATTTATATTAATAAATAAATAATGATTAAATTGTAGTATTTTACTGCATTTTTATTTAAAATAAATGTATTAACTAATAACTATGTAAAGTTTGTATCTTTTTATTTCTAATCATCAGTGGTACTCGACTGATTGATAATATACTTAAGTGGTACGCGAAAAAAAAGTTTGAAAACCGCTGGTCTAGCTGGTTCGATCTCGACTCGTTCAAAATTAGGTTCAAACACTTTTTCAATAGGCAAACATAAATTTAGCTGATTCAACTGTTTAGTTTTTTTAAATAATAATGAATCAAAACTTGACGAATTTGTAACTTTTTAACACATTCAATTTAAAATAATAAAAACATATAATCGTATGCAAAACTGAGAAGATTATATTGTTATCTGCAGCCTGGAGATCTTAATTCTTAAATTTTAGGTATAATGCAGTGGCGAAACCAAGATTTTGTATGGCTGGGGGAGGGCAATCATTTGATGTATAAGAGAAGCTTAACTCGGATCCCTAATAATTTTCGTAAGCTCATACCGTGGATATATATCATTTCAAACTTTTGCAGCAACCTTCATAAAAATTACAATTTATAATAATGGTTACGTCTTACGTTATACATTCATCCAACACTGAAAGTTTTTTTTACATTTTCTTTTAATTAAGTAAACAGTATGCAAACGTATGTACCTGGTGCATTTTATATTTATGCGTCATTGTCTCCTCTTAGATTGTGGTTTTAATTTATTTCCAGTGATGTATTTAATTGTAAGTTTTGACTGCTTTAAATGTTCAACAGTACGTTGGTATTTGATTGGCCTCAAGCTTATACTTATTTTTAGCTATTATTTTCATATATCACGATCCATTAACGTTCAATATGATATACCTAGTTATGATATGATACTATTTTTAATTTTGTGGTGTTTTTAGATTATACGAGACAATATTATATTATAATATCATGATGTTATTCACCCGTTTCCTGCGTCATTTATGGTTTTCGATCTATCCCAATTACGGAGACGCGTATACAGAGTGTAACAGAAATAACCGCGGACAGATATGTAACTGACCACAACTGTAATAACTTTTATTTATACCAATTTTTAAAATTTTCTTTTAAATGTAGATATTTTATGTTAATTGTTAACTATATCTAAAAAAAATGTCATATTAATTAGTAGAAAAAAAGTTATTACATAGTTGGATATTTACATTTGCAGCTATTTCTGTTACACTCTGTATGACTGTAAACATATAACACAAAAAACACGTAGGTACCCAATGGTT